GCTAGAGTGCTCAGAGGAAGGCAGCCAGAACAGTGAAGGGACTCAGTCAATCGACCAGCAAGTATTTGTTAGGAGCCTGCCAGCCATGAGGGGACACACTTGCAGGATTCTGATCCCCAGGCTCTGGTTGAGTTCTGCATTTAGAGGTTTGGTTTGGTTTGGGAGGCTTCAGTGAACCTGGGGAGCTTATGAGGGGTTGGGGGCCAGGCTAGTTCTCCTACAATTGAATCTCAATTGAGAAGCTACATTAACAAATAACTGCAGGTCTATTCACTGGGAAGTTGGCATTCCTTCTGTTCCAGAAAGGATCTGGGCAGGAATGCAAATGAGAGCCAGAGTCCTTACCATTTCTCCTGCCCCCTTGGAAAATATGGCGAGTGTGCTGACTGGACAACTGGCCAGTTGGACTTTGGAATGTGGGGGAGGCTGAAGGGAGAAAACCAACCCTCGGCCAACTCCACAGGCAGAACTTGGAGAAAAATAAAGTTATTTCTGGCCTGAGGCCTAGACATCCCAGCACAAAAGACAAGACAGGAACAAGACCCAGGAGCCCAGGAGCCCAGAAAAGAGGGGCTGAAAATATGCTGGCTCTGCTGGCCTCATTTGTCAGAAAAGAGTAATGGGTTCAGCCACTGCCTTTGAGGGACAAGTCCCCAGGGCCCTTCCTCCCAGGGGCTCTGGCACCATGGCCATCTGTCGCTAACTGGGAGGTGACAGGTCCACCTTCCAGCTCCCACCCTCAGAACCAGCCCCTCAGTGCTATACCTCAAACCCACCAGCCCCAATGATTCACACCAACATGACGGCAACATGATTCCTGAAGGAGATTTAGTCTTCCCATTGGATGCTGAAATGGAGAAGACATGAAACAAACCCAGGCTCCCAGCAATTCCCAGCCAAGAAAATGTGGGTCCTGGCCACGATGCAGAACGCAGCCAGCCGGAGCCATGGGGAAGGGGCCTCGGCACCTTAGGTCTAAGGTTCGATTGCGATTCCAATCACTTGCTCACACACCAGAATCTGCCTGGCTTCCTGGAGCTTTGGTCTCAGGCACCAAGGGGAAGGAGAGTCCTCAGCATTTGGGGAGCAGGTTGTGGTCTGTGCTGGTTTGGATGCTGCTGGGATCTTTCCCGCCAGCCAGGGAGAATGGGATGAAAACCTGCTTGGGAGGCCCTGGAAAGGGGCAGCTAGCTCTCCCATTCTGTAGTCATGAAGCAATTACCTGAGTAATTCCTTACATGAAGAAGGAACCAGCCAGATTTGTGAAGGAGAAACTAAGGGACCCAGAGATTCCTCCTGCCCTTCCATGGGGTCTCACTGGGGGTGGGAGGGGGCAGGGTTTACAAACACCAGAGTGACCTCCCAGAGCTACCTGAGAAAGAGGCTAATGGAGCAGCGGCCTGTGTTTGGAGGAAAAAACAAATCACTGGCTTTTTGAAGTGAAAGTTACCTCAAATAAGAGAGAAAGGGGCTTCTCAAATTCTTCCCAAATAGGATTTTCCACCTTTTAAATGCAAAAATGAAGAAACAAGTTTCAAACTTTCAAAGGAAGATTATTTAAAATCATTCTCTATAGATAAGAAATGATAACATAATGATGCCCCTCTCACATAAATAAATGGGTCAATAATCTACAGGATGAATTTTACATTTTGATGGGAAAACCAGAGGAAAAACTCCAAACACGGCACCTGGATAAATCTAAATTCATTGTGAGACATTGGCTTCATATCCCTGAGGAGGTTCACCCTCCTATCCCAGCTCTGCCTCGTGGTTGTATGAACTTCCTTGGGCCTCGGTTTTCTCACTGGTAAAGTGGGGATGATAGCATTCAGATTACGTATGTCACAGATGAGATCATGGCTGCCCCAAAGGAGGCAGGGGAGCTCATGTTTAGGAGACATTTGGTAAACTGCGAAGCGTAACCACCGGAGAAGGCAGGCTCCATCGGGGACTGCATCCACACAGATCCCGAGTGAGAGAGGGTGTAGATGGACAATGAGGCAGCTCCTTTTGCCAATGTGCTTTTAGCCAAATGGATCTGAGACCCAGATGGGGCCAGGAGGAGGCTCTGAGGTAACTCTCCCAGACACAGATTGATCCTTGACACTGACCTACACCCCAAGGCTCTGACAAGGAAATTCTGTGTGAGGTGGTCGTCCTTCTGGGCACACCATCCTGCCAGCTTGCAAACAAGCTACAGCCAAGAACCATCCTCTCCTGACCCTGAGGCGCAGCCATGCCCCCCACAACGGAATGCTGGGAATGCTGAATCGGCTTCTGAAGAGCCACGCCCCCTCCCCAGAGCCTCTCCCCGGAGAGCTGGGAGCACCTAGGATACCATTAAGCCCAAACCCCCTTATTTTACAGGCAAGGAATCTGAGCCCCAAGAGGTGGGGCGGTCTGCTCAGGGAGGGTCACGCAGGTGCAAAGGACTGAGCACCGATCCGATGAGTGTGGACGGGCTCCGGCAGAGTCACACTGAGCAGATCCCAAAGCTGCCAACGCCCTACTTTCTAACCAACCACCTTCTGCTCAGGGAAACGAAACTCTTTTGATGGAATACTTAGGGGGAAGTGCCCTGGCCGCCTGTGCGGTTGGGGAGGAATGGCTTTCTAGAAATAAAAAGTGGCAGACAACGGGCCACCTCTGCTCTTGACCACATCTGCAAAAACCAGGGCATGTTCCCCAATTGTCTACTTCATGACTCTTCAGGCTGGGGCTGGGATAAGTGGCCCTTTAGGGTCCCCTGCGGTGCTCCCAGATGACACCGACCCTGAATGCTGCTACTAACAAGCAGCATCTGCTGAGCTGCTGGAACTCCCTAACTGGAAGCCCTGAGGCTGCTCAAGGAAGGAGGGGAAGGCTCAGCCTCTCCCCAGCTCCTGACCCCACCATCTGGAGGGAAGAATATTGTGCTTCTCTTCCCTACGGTAGATGAAAGGGGCGGAAGGAACCCGGAGCTGAAGAATTCCAAGAAGGAGGAAGAGTTAAATGTGAAGAGAGGAGAGGACAAAGGAAACCTGGACGGGCCAGTGACAGCAATAGGGTAAAGGCACAGAGCTCTCACTGTGTGAGCACAAGCTCCTCTGCCTTCGCCCAGAGAAGACAGTCTGGCAGCGAGCTTAGCCCAGGAAACGAGGCCGAGGGGTGGAAGGGTCTGCTGAGCAGTCAATGGGGGTGGCCTCCGACCAAGTATGCAGATGCACAGAATGGCGCAGAAAAGCGGTTATTAGGCACCTACTATATGCTACACATTGGAACTACACAGAGAAAAGTGTGACCGGAGATCTGGGTTGGAAGGTGTAGGAACAGGAGAAGTAAGTCCGGGAGGAGGTTCAGAAGCCAAAAGTTTGGAGTTTCTAAGAAGACAGCAGTGGCGGCTACTCTGGATGGCTCCCAAAGAGAAGCTCTCAAGGCGACTCTCACCAACGAGAAGGAAGGGGCTGCTGGGGTGCGAACAGTGGGAGGGACCCTCGGGAGAGAGGAGGACAGCCAGGCTGGGTCAGACGGCTCCGAGGCTCGACACGGAAGATTTCTAGGGCTGTGGAGAGAGCGGGCAGGGTCCAGGGGCTCAGGTTGGCTGGTCAGCCTGGCATAGGCGGAAAGGGCTAAGAACAAAGGTCTGGAGATGCAGAGGACAAACACCCTTGAGGGAGGGGACGAGAGGGGAACCATCTCACACGGAGGAGAAATGACCAAGGAGACCTAGAGAGAGCCACAAGGACAGGAGGGTGCCCCGGGGGACCTGGAGGCCAGAAACATCCTGGCTCTCAAGAAAGGGAAGACAATGGATTGTGCTGACTTAGGCCACAATATGGCTTCCGTTTGGGGCAAACTTTGAGGCGACATTTGAGGAAGACGTCATCACAAAGAGTTTGTAAGAGTAAAAACCTAATCATTGCTCTCTGGCTCTGCCTCTGATACTGTGTCCCACCTCTCTCTCTCTCTCTCTGTCTCTCTCTCTGTCTCTCTCTTTGTCTCTTGTCTCTGTCTCTCTCTGTGTCTGTCTCTCCCCCACCTGTCTCTGTCTTTCTCCCTCTCACCTGTCTCTCTCTGTGTCTCTCTGTCTCTCTCTATCTCTTTCTGTCTCTCTGTCTCTGTCTCTTGTCTCTGTCTCTCTCCCCCATCTGTCTCTGTCTCTCTCCCTCCCACCTGTCTCTCTCTGTCTCTCCCACCTGTCTGTCCCTCTCATCTGTCTCTCTCTCTGTCTCTGTCTCTCTGTGTCTCTCTGTTTCTCTCTCTGTCTCTCCCCCACCTGTCTCTCTCTGTGTCTCTCTGTCTCCCTCTGTCTCTGTCTCTCTCTGTCTCTGTCTGTCTCTCTCTCTCCCCCACCTGTCTCTCTCTGTCTGTCTCTCTCCCTCCCACCTGTTTCTCTGTCTCTCCCACCTGTTTCTCTCTGTCTTTTACTCCTATTCCAACATGAACTAGGGGTGTGCACATGGGAAGCCAGCCCACGGAGTAACAACTGCCCAGAGGGCAGCCAGGGCAGAAATGCCATGAGATCTCATCTATCCACAATCAGCTGTCAGTGACCTGACGTGTTAAGATGAGGCTTCTTCTCCCAGTCCTCCTGGATACCAGTTTTCCAAAATGTCTCAGTAAGTGAGGCACAGAACGTACAAATCCAAGTGCTGGCTGCATGTGGCCATTGTCCTATCTGAACAGAAAGAGGGAACAGCTTGTTAGCTGTTTTCTGGGACCACGGAGATATTCCCCGGGCCACGAGGCCATTCCCTAAATGTCGCTGCTCGCGGAAAACGTGAGCTGCCCTAGGATGCACAACGTGGCTACTATTCTCGTGTAGAAGGGGACGGCTTTGGGGATGGGGCCGCATGCACCGAGCCTGGGGCAGAGCGGAAGAAATGGATGCCTGACATCGTCTGTTCTCCTGGGCTCATGACCCCATCCCGGGGGGCCCGAGCAGGGGGTGAGCCCTCTAGCGCCCGGATTTCCAGCTCTTTGCCAGTTAAGGCGATGGCGGGGACAGCCTGTCTCACCTGGCAATCTTGTCACTGCAGGACATAGTGAGCAGCCGCTCACCCTGTAGCACCCCATCCCAGGTCTGGATGGTTGTTGTTGACCTCACGGGAATGGTCCCCTCCCCGGACTCGATCTTGGTCCGGAGCTGTCCTCTTGCTTTCCGGTTTGGATGCCTATCTGCCTGATCTAAAACAGACAAAGGCAGAGGTGAGGCACACTGGGAAGGCCAGCCTTCCAGGAAAGGCGACCCGCCCACCTTACTGCAGAGACACACCCAGCTATGGTCAGTGGGGAGAGTCAGGAAGGAAGCACACTGAGCACTCCAGTCTGTCCCTCTCTGGTCAAAAAGGTGAGGCATTCCCTCGACTCAGTGCTTCTTTTGGAAATATCAAGGACCTTGTGGCCCACCATCCTCCCTTGGGCCCTGAGACTGTCCCCAACAACTCATTTATTTGGACATACACCAGCCCACAGTAACAAGCTTCAGAAAGGGATGCCCCCCTTCGAGGTGGTGCTTGCTTTGTCTAACAGGTGGTCTTAATTAAATTGACTTAAGCCATTATTGGCTGTCAGAGCCTTCATAGCCTAGTTCCAGCCCCTCTGTGTATCCCTAAGGGGAGTCACCTACCATCTTGTGCCGCCTCATGGGGTGAGAAGATCCTGGCGTCTCCACACGGAGAGGTGCTGATATAGAGATGAAACTGGACGGTCTCCTTCAGCTTGAAGCCTCCGCGCTGGGATTTCATGAAAATTGATCTCTGCTGGTCTTCTCTCGTGCTGAAACAGAGCAAAACTGAAGTCAAGGGAGTGCTTGGACGATGGACCACACTGGGCCTTCAGGGACTGCAGAGAATCCTCTGTGGGGTAAGAATGTTGGCAGCTCACTTGAGTCCACACCCAGCCAGGCCTTCTGATAAAGTCACACTCCCACTGACCATTTGCTAGTGGCTATATCCTCCCAATGTGAGGAACTTTTCCTTCTTCATTTTCTCCAGGACTACAGCACCAAGCTATGTTTGTTTTTAAATTAAATTAGCATGTTTTTAATTAACAAGGATTTATTTCCTCTCTCTCTCTCTCCCCTCCCTCCCCATTGAAGAAACCAAACCAAACCCTTGTAACAAATATTCATAGTCCAGCAAAACAAATTCCCACAACAGCTGCGTCCAATAGGCATACTTTGTCTCTGCAGCTCCTTCTGTACCCTGAGTCCATCTCTCCTCCAAGGGAGGTCAGGAGCATGCTTTATCATGATTCCTTGGCAATTGTGTTTGGTCATTCCGCTAAGCAGAGTTCTTAAGTCCTTCAAAGTGGTTTGTCTCTACAATACTGATATTATTGCACAAACTGCTGTCCTGGTTCTGCCCAGCTCACTCACATCAGTTCACACCAGTCGTCCCAGGTTTCTCTCAGACCATTCCTTTCATTGTCTCACAGGGCACAATGCTCGCGTGCGCCATGCTTTATGAAGCCATTCCCCAGCTGATGAGTGCTCCCTTAATGTCTAGTTTTTGGCCAGCATGAAAAAAGAGCTTCTATTTCTATTCCTGTACACACAGCTCCTTTTCCTCCTTCTTTAATCTCTTCGGGGCTATAGGCCTAGTTATATCACTGGGTCAAAGGCTTGTACAGTTTCTTAATTCTTTGACCATGCCTCCCAATTGCTTTCCAGAATGGCCGGACCAATCCAGAGGTTCACCAACAAAATATGTGCCTGTTTTTCCACAGCCCCTCCAGCATTTGTCATTTTATTTTTTTTTTACCAACTTTGCTACTCTGATGGGTATGAGATGGAACCTCAGGGTTCCTTTAATTTGCATTTCTCTAATTATTAGTGATTTGGATAATTTTTCACATGACTCTTGACAGCTTGGGTTTCTTCCTTTGAAAACTACCCATTCATCTCCTTTGACCATTTATCAGTTGGAGAACAGCTCTTATTCTTATAAATTTGATTCGGTTCTGCCCATGTCTTGGATGTGAAGCCTTTATCATAGAATCTTGCTGAAAATGTTTTTCTATTTTTGCAATAGTTTCATTTGTGCAATTTTTAAAACATTTTATGAAATCAAAATTGTCCATTTTATCTTCTGTGATCTTCTCTCTGCCCTGTCTGGCCATGAATTGCTCCCCTATCCATAGATCTGAAAAGTAATTTCCTCCTTGCTTCTCTCATTGTTTATGCCAACCTTATGTCTAAGTCATGTGTCCATTTGGAGCTTGTCTTGCTATATGGCATGAGATGCTGGTCTATGCCTAGTTTCTGCCAGATTGCTTTCCAGTTTTCTCAGCATTTTTGGTTACATGGTGAGTTCTTAACCCAGAAATGGATTCCTTGGGCTCATCATTTGCTTCTGTCTGTCCTCTATCTAATCTTTTCCACTGATTTTTGTAACTAACTCTCTATTTTGTAACCAGTACTAAACTGTTGTGTTGACAGAAGCTAAATTTAAACAACTGATGGACTGTTTCGGGACACAGTAACTGGACCGAAGGTGACCATTTCCATGAACACACCAGGTCTCCTAAGTTGGCCTCTACACATCTACGCTGCAGAAAACAGAAGAATATGGCCTGTGACTTTAGGACCGCGTCCCCCTCTTCCGTCCACTTCTGCAGCTGCATTTGGTCAGTCTTGTCTAAGCCATGAGTTTTCTTATGCTGCTATTCTGAGCTACTCTGGGGGCAGGGAACAACCTCCCTGAGGTCACATGTCTCAAGCTCTAGTGGCCTGAACTTACCTCAAGAAAAGTTCAAGCTGTGTGTAAAGGAACCGAATCAGGGATCGCCGAGATATGATTTCTGCATGACAGTCATTTAGGGCCAGGCCACGGTCACTCATGTACTCCCCATTTATGCATTTGGTTCCTGTGGAGACGCTTATCACCTGGGCATCTTTGACATCCGTGCCTGGGAACCAAAGATGTTTGCTGTTAGTCCATGATGGTGCCCTGAATGAATACTCATCTGGAGGCTCCATGCCCATTCTCTGATGACTGGCTGACTCTAGGGGACAACTTGAATCTTGGAGAGTCACCCCACAAGCCATGCTACAGCTATCAGGACTGGATCAGGCTCCCACGAGAGATACACTTGGGTTTTACAAAACCACTCACCAATTCAGGACAAGGCCCACTGAGTCCCAGAATGGCAAATGCCAGGGGTGGTTTCACAGAAAAGAGTGGCTCACAGTACTCAGAGGAACTTTTTGGGGAGCACAGGAATGGTTTCTGCTGGGATGCACCAAGCACCCTTCTCCGCACACAGAGCAAACCATCATTAAGTCCAGTCACAACAGTTGGGGGCTCCCGTTGGCTTTGTGATTTGTCTTTGTTCTCGAAGAGGACCATGACACCCGGGAGGTGATGTCATGCCTTGTAAGTGAATTGGATTTAAGTGAGGAAGGCTGTGCAGTCACCAGCCTCACTCTCTCCTCCAGAGCCACCTGGGTCCAATGGCCAGATATGGATCAGGATGACTGGAGATGGCCCCAGATGCAGTGGGAGACCTTGGCCTTTTCAAGCTAAGATCTTTCCCATGTCCCAGTTGGACTGAGGCACCGCCCTTTCAGGTAAGAAATGAGGCAGAGAATGACCCCTTTTACCTAGTCAAAAAACAAATCAATCTGGGAGGGAAAGAGCCTCAGGGTTTCTGGCCAATTACTAATTACATTCTGAGCCATCAGGGCCCAAATACCAAGTGGAACTTGACCTGGGAAGGTGGTGAATGGGTAGGATGCTGAGACTAGAGTCAGAAAGACTCATCTTCCTGAGTTCAAATCTGACCTCAGATACTTCCTAGCCACGTGACCCTGAGTAAGTCACTTCACCCTGTTTGCCTCAGTTTCCTCATCTGTAAAATGAGTTGGAGAAGGAAATGGCAAACCCCTCCAGTATCTCTGTCAAGAAAACCCCAAATGGGGTCATAAAGATTTGGCTAGGACTTGGTAACTACAGTCAAATACTAGTATGTTAAATGAGGTTATGAGGTCATAACAGTCAGCCACAATCAAAACAAATGGAAGAAATCATTTAAAAGCATCTCACCTGCCAGACACTTTTGTCATCAATGAATTATACTGAGTCAAAATACAGGACAACTCAACTTTCAGAGTAACAAATTCCTTTTTAAAGTCAAGTCACGCCCTGTGAGAATTTAAATCAATCTCTCCTGTGCTTGACCTTCTCTCAGCTGTAACCCTTTGAAAAACAAAGCTAGGGTCATTTCCAGTGAAGCCATGGCCTCTAGGTTCTGGAAGGGCAGACTTCTGGACAATGACACCTGTGAAGAACTCCCCTGGACCTCTCTGCACAGCAGCTACACACCAGGACGCAGAGAACACAGACTCCCAAGGAAATCCAGCCCTCCCAGAACCACGAGAGGTAAGTCACTGAAGTTTCCCTGAGCTTGGGTGGCCAAAGGCAGAGCTCCAGGTAGTGAAAGGAATGATGAAAATTCTTTGGCCAACTCCAAGAAATCCCCTAGGAGTGTGCAACCCCAATGATTTAGCAGCTTTTGAAAATCCTGGAAGTCTCTTATGGCAAAAGGAAAAGAAAACCATGCCCATCACAGACTGTTTCTGCTCCTAAAAATCCTGAAGCACAGGAAATTATTTTGTCACGTGAAGAACATTGGAATGTCCTGGAAACAAGTGGATGCAGGCCCCCGTGGCCCAGATGCCTTTATCCTGAAGGCTTTGTGGCCGTGCCCTGTGCCCAGACTTGGCCAAGTTGGCCTACCTGCCACTGTACCACTGACCCCATGGAGGAAGGCATGAGATGAGAGAGTGCCAGTCAGTCGATGTGAATAGTGTCAAGTTCACATCCTCTTTATGGCAGTGGAGGGGAGGCGGTGGCAATCAGTTGTGACCCCTTTGTAGATGTGAAAAGCAGCAAAGATTGAGAGATCGAGAGAGAACATAAAAAAAAAAAAACACCTCATCTGTTTTCCTTTGGCTGTGTCCTTTTTCCAGTATTTGCCACAGTAACAAAATGGCAGTCCTGGAAACTGAGGTGCTGGCCAGGTTGTGTCTGTGGCCTCCTGCCAAATCCTCTGGACCTGTCCAGGAGGCTGTCCTGGCAGCCCACTTAGGAAGGGTGGTCTCTGGGTAGTAACAGAACCACCAACCTCGACCTGTCAGAAGTTGGAAAATACCCTGAGCAATCCAAGGCCATCTGCCAACAATCCTCTCCCTAATCTATGATTTGAGGAATTCTGAGGAAAGTTGAATAGCATGTGATAAATGCACATGTAGAGAATGTTAGCAAGCCTTTGCTCTTCATCCTCCTCAATAAGAAAAGTAATCCTTTTACTAAATAAGCAGCCATAGACAAAAATGAAAATGCACCCATATTCAAAGGTGGATTCTCACATTCTCTCTTTCTCTCCATCTCTCCCTCTCTCCTCTCTCTCTCCTCTCTCCACGTCTCTCTCTCCCTCTCTTTCTCCCTCTCTCTCCCTCTCTCTTCTCTCTCCCTCTCTCCTTTCTCTCTCTCTCCCTCTCTTCCTTCCCTCCCTCTCACTCTTCCCTCCCTGTCTCTTCCTTCCCTCCCTCTCTTCTATCCCCCTCTCTCTCCTCTCCTTATATCTCTCTTCCACTGTCTCTCCTCTCTTTCCTCCCTCCTTCTCTCTTCCCGCCCCCTTACCTCACTCCCTCCAGGGTCTTTTAGAGTCAGTCTGGTGTTCTTACCAGACTTTTGCCCCCCATGGCCTAGAAGGACTCTTAGAGTGCAAGGAGGAGGGAGTACCTTTGGAAAAACAAAGAGCAGGCACGAGGGGGGTTCAGCAGGAAGGCTAAGCATGAGGGTCTCTGCCTCTTACTAGCTGGTTACTGAGGGCAAGACATCCACCTCTCAGAGGCTTTGTTTCTTCGTCTATGAAATGGAGCCCATTGTCCTGCATCCATACCTCCCAAGTTTGTAGAGGGGAAAGCACTTGGCACGCTGGAACTACCAACAAACTGAGGCCACGCTTGTTTTCCGATATTGCTAAAGACCGGGCAGCACGTGGCCCCGACAGTCGGCCCGGAAGGCTTTTCTTTTGGGGGTAGACGAGTGAGCCCCACTTTCAAGATCCAATGAAGCTCCTCCCCCTTCCCCACTCCTCACCCCTTACTTCACTGAAAAGAAACGGCTCCAGTGTTTGCCCGACGAGTACTTTCTCCCCTCGCTCGGCCCCCCGCGCCCCTTTCCAGCCCCACCCAGGCCACCAGACCTGAGAGTGCGAGCTCCTCCACCCGCCCAATGACGCACCTACCTGTCGTCATGACAACGCCAGAAAGCACTTTTCTCCGAGCATGGGGGGATGTGAAGTTGTCCGTCAAATCACTGAACTTCTCCACGATCAGGCGGGCCACGGAATCGGCGAGAACCTGGCGACCACAGAAGACGCGGTGAGGTGCTGGGAGCATCTCCGCCCCTCCGCCAAAACAGGGAGGCAGGGCAGGCTCGTCTGGGGGCGGGGGGGGGCCGACTGTCCCCCACACACGCCTGGGCAGGCTACTCTCAGGCAATGGGCTTCTCATTGTCCTGAGACAACAGCACAACTAACCCTAACCCAGCTGTCCAGCGGCGATACTCACCCCAAGAGCAGCAGGATCGTACCTAGAACACGATGGGAGAACGCGGTCTGAAGACAACTACCCAAAAACATTCATTTTCCTGAGGAAATCCACCAGTTATGTCTGGACCCTCTGTCTTCACTGCCTACAAACGTTTCCTTCAAAACAGCTGAGACCTGTAGAACTGCCACTGAAGGACCGGGCTCTGGAGCACACTCCACCAGGCCAGCTACTGACCTGGCCGCACTGGGAGAGTCCCTGACAGAGCCGGGGAAAAACCCAGTGAGAACAGAAAACAGTCTGGAGGCTACACGTTCTCTTGGACCCAGAGAGGAGAATCATGTCAATGAAAAAGAGCATTTTAGATTCAAGAAAAGCTAAGTTTTATAAAGAACTAACGGGAGGCAACTCCCGGTACAGTAGAGAGAGCTAGCTGGTAGAGTCAGGAAGATCTGAATTCAAATCCAGCCTCAGACAATTGCAAGCTCAGTGACCCTGGGTAAATCACTTCACCCTGTTGGCCTTAGTTTCCTTGCCTATAAAATGGAGGTAACCACAGCACTTGCCTTGCAGGGCTGTGAAGGTCAAATGAGATAATATTTGCAAAGTACTTAGCACAGGGCCTGGCACATCATAAGCGCCATAAAACTCTTGTTTTCTTCCTTCAATCAAGGAACGTCCAACTGAGAAATGTGACTTTTATCCAATCTACTCTACATAAATCTGTCAAAGTTGGTCAAATCAGAAATACTAACAAAAATGAAAGGGACAATAAGATAATAAGAATAAAGAATGTTGAAAACTAAAAATAAAGAAAAAATAAAGACATAAAAAATGAAAAATGAAAAAATAATCAAGAATAAAGAAATGAGAAAATAAATCCATCTGGCTGCTTATTCACTTTCTCTGTATATAATTACAAGCATGAGTAGAAATAGTTTTTCCTTCTTGGTCTAGACCTACAATTTCATTGGTATGTGGAACTCCTGGTGGGGGGAGGGGGGGCGGAAGGCCCATCCACTAATGCAGCTCAGAAATGCATCCAACTCTGAATCTTAAAGCTTGGCCTGGGTGCCTGAGAGGGGGTGACCAGAGAGAGTTAAGCTCCAAACTTCCAGGTCACGAAGGCTGGCCTTCTGGCCTCTATGGCCCAGCTCCTCTACCATAGTGGACTTTTTAAATAAAGTAAAAGAAAAATGCCTTGATGGCAGCAAGAAAAAGAAACCATATCAGTGTAGGAACAAAGCTATTTGTGTGGAAAAACTGCAGAGTGGGAACACTTTCTGAGGGAGATGTCTCAGTCAGGTTATAAATCAAGTAGACTCCAAATGCTTCTCAGCTCATCATTCTCCAAAGGTTGAAAGAATGTTCTGGTGGTCCCACATCTGTCTAATTAGGAGTGGAGTTGCTTGAGTAGTAGTAAGGTGGAGGTGAACTTGTGTGGCTCTGCCCCCTGCCACTGGCAGCTATGGCCAGGGCTATGTGTCTGGTGGGCTCAGCCAGATCTCAGAGATTGGCTTCTAGGAGAGCTTCCTTTGGGCATGCCCAAGGCAGGAAGTCCCCTGAACCAAGCAGGCAGCTTGGCAACCAACTGGCAGCACCAGCTTTGTAATCCTCAGGAGGTAAACTTTACAGATCGTGAGCTATTCCAAATTTCAGTGATTTAAAACTGCTCCACCATGAGGTTGGCCTTGACCATTGAAGGGCCCAATACAATGCTCATACTGGCTGATGAACTGTCCTTATCACACATCACCAGATGGCAGGGGCATCTTCATCCTCAGTCATCAGGCATTGAGAATGTCCCTGATTTCAAAGGGATAATTCAGCCAATCAAATCCTTGCTCTTACCATTAAAAAAGGTATCTGAATATGGCTTTAAGCTGCTAACACTAAGACCTCTAATGCCCTGTAGGTTGGACAAGATGAGCTCCAAGGTCTTCCTCAGGGACTGTGATTCTCTCCTCAAGTGATCTCATTCTGGAGTCTCTCCTTGACCATGGTCCTCTGCACTTTGGGGTAATGGTGGGCTTGAAACCTTACACCAGCTCTGTGGCTTCCATGCCAGCTATCTTTGGGGATGTCTTAACCTTGGGTAGAAGCTAGCCTCACAGGGCTGGACAACGTTTTTGTGATCAGGTCAGTATGTGTATGTGCACACTGTGAGGACTATGGTCAAGGCTCAAAGATTGACTGCTACTTGGGGAAGGATGTCGGTAAGAATCACAGTCTCTGAGGAAGCCCTCAGAGCTCATATTGTCCAACCTACAGGGAATAGGAGTCTTCTCTACAGCTTTGGTGGAAAGACACTTCTTGAAATGGCCTACTTCCCTGCTGTGGCAGACCCCTCCACCGAGGAAAGCACTAATTGTTAGGAAGCGTAGATTACATAGAGCATCTCCCTATCACTCAGACCACGATTTCTGTTTCAATCTTTTGGGCCAAGAAGAGTTTGCTCCTTCTCCCAAATGACAACCTTTCAAATCCTTGAAGGCAGCTAGCACGCATTCCTCCCCATCCCTACCCTGCCCCCCACCCAACCAAAGTTGTTCCCTCTGCAGGATAAACTTCCTCATTCCTGCAGCCTGGTTGGCCATCCCTCCATGTTTTGGTGACCTGTCCTGAGGCTCTCTCCGCCTCCCTAAAAGGGCCTTACCTGAAACTCAACACAATCCTGCAGATAGGCTCTGAGTAGGGTTGAGACCAGGGAGATGAAGACCTCCCTGAGCCCAGACACTGTTCCTCTCTTAAGGCAGGCTAAGATGGCGCTGTTTCCCGGCACCTGGCTGCAGGTAGATAATAATAAGAAGGGCTTGCTGCTTGCCTCACTGCCTGCTGTCTTGTCACGGGGGGGATTCATATTGAGGGAGGAAGCTTGCAGCCCATGACCACCTCCAGAACTTTGTCACACACACCATCTCGGACTTGGGAAATTAATGTTTTAGCCAAGGGCAGGAGGTTGGAGACTTACAGCTCTTTGTGAAAGAGCTAGAAAAAACAAAACCCGTCAAGGGAACCCAGAGGGCGGAGGGATCAATTATCAGTACAGTGACTGGAGAGAATATAATAAGGAAAGTTAAAAAAAAAAAAGCAAACGGGGAAATGGCCGATGGCCAAAAAGTGAATGGGAGATGCGCCATTAAAGGACAGTCTTGGGCTTGTACAGAAGGGAACCAGGTAGCGCAGAATGAAAACTGGCATACTGCTCGAGGCCGGGAGCCTCCCCAGGCTGAAGGGAAACTTCAGGTGGAAATGCAGGTACAGCACTCGAGCTGCCCCAGAGTCTTCTAAGAAAAGACACTGTGCGGCTCCGTCGCTGCTGCTTGGCTTAACCATAAGAAATCAGCTTCGGCATCCGACACATCAACAGAGGGCCTTCGCAGGGCAGCCACAAAAAGCACAGATAGGGTGGGGTCCGTCCAGTGTCAGTGCGCTGGGGCAAACCAGCCCCCACCCTGCAGCTCCTGAGCTTAGCGAGGCACCCGGGATCCATCTCTGGGCTCCAGCCATTCTCCCTGGACATCGTCCCCAGGCCTGGAATGCTCTCCGACCTCCCGGCTTCCTTCAAGCCCCACCTAAAATCCCACATTCTCCGGGAAGCCTTCCCCAACCCCTCTCAATTGCGGTGCCTTCCCTCTGTTCGTTATTTCCTATTTATCCTCTAGGGGCAGCGAGGAAGTGCAGCGGATAAAGCTCTGGGCTCGAACTCGGAAAGACGCAGCTTCATGAGTTCAAATCCAGCCTCATACACTAACTGTGTGACCCTGAGCAAGTCACTTAACTCTGCCTCAGTTCCTCATCTGTAAAATGAGCTGGAGAAGGAAATGGCAAAGCTCTCCAGTATCTTGGCCAAGAAAACCCCAAAAGGCCTCATGGAGAGTCAGGTGTGACTGAACAACAATTTATCCTCCATAGGGCTTGCTTTGAAGATATTTGTTTGCCTTATTATAAGCTAATTATTGATTCAATTGTAAGCTTCTGGAGGGCAGGGAGTGCCTTTTGCCTCTTTTTGTATCCCCAGCACTTAGCACAGGGCTTGGCACACAGTAGGTGCTTAATAAATGTTTACAAATTGATTGATTTAACACTAGGTGAGCCACTCAGATAATGACCAGGGTAAACCACTTTAAATTAAATTAACCCTTGTGGGCTTCAAGCACAGGGACCTGAATGAACACAGAAGATGCTTAGTACGTAGTTGCTGAATTTGAAATACTGGCTGGTGATTTCTAAGTAGATGTGCATTTAGGACGTATTGGTTGATTTTGCATCCCTCCCAACCTGTCTGAATCTCGTGATGGATTCCTAATACAAGGTCAGTGTGAGGGCTCACCTCCCATCTGGAAATGCCAGGTCAGAAGCAGGAGTCCCTGCCAAAAACACCAGACTCTTCCTGAGCCACTCCTGGGATAGCAGGGAAGAGTGGAGGATGACCTTGTGGGAGATGGGTCTCAGAAATGGCGGCAGCTACCTCAGTGAGTCCTTTGCATTGCCTGCCAGCACCAGGGAGTGCAGTGTTGGCCAGGAAACTGCCCAGAGGGAATCAATGTTTATATAGGGCCTACTATGTGCTAAGCACTGTGCTAAGCACTTTTTATAAATATTATTTCATTATCACAACAACCCTGCAAGGTAGGTGCTATTATTATTCCCATTTTATGGTTGAGGAAACTGAGGCAGGCAGTGGTTAGGCTGGATTTGAACTCGGGCTTTCCTGCCTCCAGGCCCAGAGCTCTGGGCACTATGGAGCCATCAGCTACCTCTCAGTAATGACCAAGCTTGGCCCCAAAGAAGAGCTGGGATGAGAAGCCCTCTGTCTCTCTTTGCAGAGGTGGGAAACTCTGGGAGTGGAAGACAGCTTGGACTTGGCCAGATGTTGGCGAGCTTATTGTTCTGTCTTTTCTCCTTCCTGTTCTAGCTCTCTGAGTGGGAGGGAGAGGCAGGGTGGCCCCAAGCACGGAGCCCTGGCCTATCCAGCAGAGACTGGATGGAAGGTCTCCATTATCTTTACTGCTGCCCTCCCCAGGGCCCTGGGCCACCAAGCAGCCACAGGAGTGATGGCGGATCGAGGCTTTCTGCCCACTGGCTCAGGAGGCCAGGACAAAGGTCCTTTCTGCCTGAGTCTCTGCTCCCTTAGAGTGTGAGGCCATTCACTTCAACTGAGAGCTCGGGCAGGGTGTTCTGGAGAACCGGAAAACCACAACTATTTGTTGAATGCTACTGGAGACAATGAGCATTTCCTATCCCAGCCAAGCCTGCAGCAGCAGCAGCAGGGGCTGTCGGACACAGGGCCACACCCCACAACCACTACGGCTCCGTCTTTCTGGTGGCTGCCTCTCCAGAAAGAGACCTGAGCCTCCCAAAGGCATCAGCTGGGTCGTAGGCAGCCAATACCTAAGGATGTTCTCTTACTCCTTTGATAGCATTGTTCTGCTAAGGCAAAGCAAGAGAACATCTCCAACTCCAGCCACCCTCAAGAACTCAGGGGCTCAAAGGGTCCTTGGTCTCGAGCTAGAAGGGGCCCAGAGGTCATGGGGCCAGCTCGTCATTTTACTGAGGAAGAAGCTGAGGCCTAGAGATGTGATGTCCTGCTCAGGAGTCACACAGGATTCAAACTCAGGCCTTCCTGACTCCAAGTCTAGCGGGCCACTCAGTACACCACACTGCCTCAAAAACTATCGCTTTGACAAAGTACAAGCCTGCCAAGAGATTGACAGAGAGCTTCAGCCACCATGGCCAAAGAGACCCCCGAGGAAGGAAGTGATCTTTGCTTTACCTGAACATCATTTGCCTCCTTTGGCTGTTATTTGACATTGAAATGACATTTTGGGGTCACCTTTGGCAAAATGACATAATTTCCACCCCTTTTCCTGGGGACTATTGGCCAATTCTGGAAATGGTTTCACAGAGACTATCCCAATGAGCCCAACAGCGGCTCAGACAGAGTTTAATTTTTCCAATAGAAATGCGTGCTGCCTCACCAGCCAACCTTGAGCTTCACAGAGAAGACATCTTATCAGGAAACTGAAACAGAGATTTTGACAAGAGGCCAAAAAAAAAAAAAAAGGAAATGATTAGGCGGCCAGCTTCTCTACCTGAAACATCACATTCCCATCAGACCAGAAGGACCTGCGATGGCCTAGAGAAGAATAGACACCGAGAATGGGGATGACAGGGGACCAAAATGCTGATGGGGTCTGCCCTTTGGGTTCCGCATGAAACCCTGAAGCCCCCATCCCAGCCCCCCCAGTTTCCCCATCTCCTTCCCTGAGGCACCAGTTCAAAGTTCAGCCCAGCTTCTGACAAACTGGGAGGCTGTGGGCAGGTCATGGGACTACTTTTGGCCTCACATTGCTCATCTATAAAATGAGGGGGGTCATTCCTTTCTGCATAGGGAGAGCAGCAAAGTCACCCTCATCTCCAGGGCTGGCATGAGCAGGGCAAGCAGGGAGATGCTCCTTGGGGTAGAGGGGGGAGGAGGGCACCCTGGAGCCTGGGAAGACAAGAAGGGAGAGGAAAGGGTGCAGGGAGCAGCAGGGGTGTTCCAGAGGGACCTTCAGTGCTCCCACCTGCCCCCAGGTTCCTGTTTTGGAGGGACAGCTCTCTCAATGACATGGCTTTCCTATCAGAAGTAGTAACACTTACAGAAAAGGAAAAGGAGAATTGATAATCTCTCTCAAGCCCATATAGTCTTTCAACCATTTCATTTGCAGCTGTAAGACGTAAAGGACACAGAGCCTACGAGGGAAAGAGAAGCAGGGGGGAGCTCATGGTATACTCCCCCCTGCCAGAGGAGATGACAGTAGCTACTCCTCAAAAGTGGAGGGGGACAGAAACACTCCAGAAAGGGAAGGAGAAAAGACTTTCAGTCTGATCAGCCCTTTGAGGGCTCCCCTTTAAAGGAGACTTTGGTTGTGGTGGGTATAGAAGGAACATCTACGACCTAGCCATCCTCTTGGGTGCTGAAGAAGCATTGCTCTGTGATGTATGGCCAGCTCCCTCCTTTGCCCGCCCTGGAAAACAGAGATGCAGTCAGGGAGCACCCAGAACCCAGGAGAAGGACTGGATCACATCCATGTCAGAGTCAGTCAGGACTCAAGCACCCCCACTTCTCCACTCTGCAGCCCACAAGGACGTGATTCACCACGAGCACGTCTGAAAGAGGGAGAGGACGCAAAGGGACCTGATTCTGGATGAATTCCCGAAGGAGAGTCCTTGGGGGCTCTTCCTGGGCAAGAAGCCAACCAATGCATCAGAGAGGGCACCGTCACCACCTCTCCTCACCTCCATGGCTCCAGTGCCTATCTCTCATTTCCTACTTTTCTAACCAAGTAAATTCGCTATAGAAGCTCATCGGCAAGCGTTCCTGGAACACAAGCTAAGAGGCTTATGCTACATGGAAGGGACCACTTTAATCCCACAGATCCCCTCGGAGGGCTGGGCCCGAGCTCCCAGGTCCTCACCTGTGGCAGATGCAGCTGGAGGCCCTCCTTGGGGATGGGCTGCCGAGACGGCGTCTGGTCCAGCTGCATGTGGAAGAGGCAGGCGAGAGCAGACTGGGCGGCGCGGGCTTTGGCCAGTTTCTTGTTCCGCCCTGACCCCTCGAAGCTGTGGCCATCCACGGCCACCGACATGACGAAATTCTTGGCGTGGCTCTCGCCACTCTCGGAGAGAAACTCGTATTTGAGACCGGGCCGCAGCTCGTTCAAGATCATCACGGGGTTCTTGCCGCTCGCGGACGGGTAGGGTATGGGGAGGGGAAGGGGTGACTGTATCAGGGCGCTGGGGACGGCAGACACTGAGACGCTGTAGTCTGCACTGGGACTGAAGCTGCCATCTCCATTGGAACCCAAATAAAAGGGCGCGTCCGCCTGAATGGGGGTCTCAAATCCATTGAAAAGGGTGTCGGGGAAGTCGGCTTGATCCGACGTAAAGTCGGTATTGACAGAGAGGGTCCTGCCCATGGCTAGATGAGCCTCGGACGCATTGGGGAACTGGACGAAGGAGCGCAAGGCCTTCTCGGCAGCGTGCAGCTTGGCTTTCTTCTTGGTGGGGCCCGAGCCTTCAAAGGCCTGTCCGTTCACCTCGACGGCCATGACGAAGACAGGGGCATGCACTGGTCCCGTCTGGGAGAGGAGTTTGTACTGCAAGCCAGGCTTGATCTCATTGAGCTGCATCAGGGCATTCTTGGGTAAAATGGGCCCCGGGATTTTCTTCCTCCTCTTCAGACGGAACTTGGGGTGGCCGTTGGTGCCATCCTCCAGTGGCCGCTTCCTGCCGGCGCCACCGCCTCCCCCATTGGTGAGCTGAGCCGCCTCCCCGGCACTCTGGGTGCCGCCGTCTTTGGGCGGGACGTTGTCCAGGTTGCGGTTTTCCTTGACATCGGCGCTGCTGGAACCTGCGGTGCCCAAAAGAGTAACTTACAACGCCTTCGTTGTAGGACCTTGTAAATGCAAAATTTATAGATTCCTTCATCTCTCTTTGTAACTGGTTAAGTGATGTGTGCTCCCCAAGCCTCCTCTTCCGGGTGGACCCAACCCCAACCCGCCTCTGCCTGAAGCACTGGCTAGGAATAAGGGTGGGCGCAGCAGGTCCCACTTGGATGGGCATCCATGCTGCTCGGGGTGAAAGGGCCTCACCCTACAATACATTGGGGAACCACCCTGAGAGAAGTGTGGCAGGCGGCCAACGAAGGACCTTTCCAGTAATACGAATGGAATGGAGATTCATCATCAGCATTAGGAAAGCGGATGTTCTGCTTTAGTTATGCTTTTTTTTCCATTTCATTTGACCAGAATCTAGTTTGTAGGGTTGAATTGAGGCACCATTTGGAGGCTATACAATGCTCTTTAGAAATATATACTCATCAGCTAATTGACTTTGCAGGTAATAAATATTCAATTACTGTGAGTCTTTGATTTGGTTCACATACTCACTCACTAGTATGACAAATTGTTTATGTAGTTGGTGCCTGTTCTTTTGGGCAGCTTTGACTGGGGGAGGACGGGGCTGGAGCTCTGCTTTTCAGCCTTGTTCTACCCAATGAGCACCATTGAGCTCTGACGCCCTAGGGTGCTTCATCAAAGACAGTTCCATCTACCAATGGAGCAAATAAAAAAAGGTGGCATGGAGAATCACCTCAGCAAACAGGTGTCACTCCACCTCTTCCTTTTCGGTTTTTAATGTAGTCCCAGAGAAATGCCAAGGAGGGGAACCTGATGGCGGGTCAAGATGGAGAGCTGGCATTCAGCCCCCCCCCCACCCCCAACAAACCACTAAGCTCATGGCAAAGGGAGGGTTATCTTGGCTTCAAAAAGGAAACAAAATCACAAATCCTCCTAAATTTATTTATAGTTTATTTTCAAAAATGGGGGAAATGATTCACTTTTCCTGTTCTGATTAAATTTAACAGGATTTACCATGAATCATATGGGCAAATGCTTAGAGAAATTTAAAAGAGGTGTGTGTATTTAAAAGGTGAAGGCCCCCCAATCTTAAAAACATGTCTCTCAATATGTTAGAAAAATCCACAATAAAAATTTTAGATAATCCAAATAACCAGCTTTTTAGATATTTAGACCAAAATGCAGTAACTACCCTTGAGGACCATTCCTCCTTCATAATGAGGGCTGGTTTCCATGATGCTAAGCAAACTGTCCCAAATGCGTGACCATTTGCATCAGATAAACCAATTAAAAAGCCAAACCTTACTCTGGGTGCTAGGCCAAGGCTCCCAATCTTCCCCTTTTAAGAGCTCTGATTTCCAGGGGCAGATTCATTCAGTTTGGTATTAGGATAATAATAATTTTGAAAAGCTCCCACTAAGCTAACCTAAGTGGAAGGCTGCTCGTCAGTAGGAGATTCTAAGCAGCCACTCGGACTGAGTTAAAAGGGCCCTTCCCACCGCCTGCCGGGCACACGCACACACACACCACTTCTCCCAGTTGACAAAGCTGATGGAATGATGATTAAATTTTCATTTATAACATCCTCCAGCAAAAGCTCGATAGGTTACTCGTTTTGGTGCTCAAAAAACAAAGGAGAGAAACAGAGCCAGAATGGAGATTTAGAGATTGACACAGGACAAAGAACTTCGCACGCGCAAAAGTAAGGGCCCGGCATGGTGTCGATGGCGCAGGAGCCATCGCTCCAAGTGGCCTCGGAGCCCTCATGGCAGCCGTGGGCAGCTTCTGGGAACAGTGAAGGAATCCCAGCAGCCCGGCGACTGCAAAGACCTTTTTGTCTGATCTCCATTTTGCTGGGACCCTTGGGGGACAATGCACCGGTAGGAACCAGTAAACCTGAGTCAGGGAATGGTGGAGGACCCCACCCAAACTGAGAATCTGTCCACAAGGTTGCTCTCGGCACACTGGAGAGCAGGGGCAGGGGCAGGGCAATTTCCATGACATTTTTATTGAGAAGAAATTAATATTTCAATGATTCATATGATTTTGCTGTTTAATGAACTGGCCCCCAAGGGGCCATGCTGGCAAGCCAAAGCAGTTGCTCTGATCTGTTTATCTTTAGTTGACTTGTGAAAGCCATACTTCCTGACTACTGACAGACAAGCCAAGTGAAAACCTTCCAGGGTGTCAAGGGGAAAGCTGGGGGCCTGCCTCCTTCAAGCACATGCCCAATAGCATGTTGTCTCTCTCTGTGCCCAAGGGCTGTGCCCGGGCAGTAAGGCAGGCCCAAAGGACCCCAACTGAAGCCTTTCCACAGACCTTGGGTGGGGTTTCTCTGTTCTTGGGTCACCCCTGAATCTAGGATTAGGTAAAGCCCCTCCAAAACAGCTGAGGGCTGAGGGTGATGCCAACCACACAGAGCAGGAAGCAGAGGAATGGGAGATTCCCTGAAGCTGCCCCTGTCATAGGAGCTGGTCAGTCCTCCTCCACATGTCCCTGCATCCGACCAAAGCTTCCCCAAGAGCCCAGACCCCATGACACGCCCTGGCGACCCCCATTGCGACCCTTTGCTGGACTGTGGGCAAGGTCCTGACTAGGCTGGACCAGTGAGGGCCTGGGGGCCTACGTGAAGACCCAGCTGTCTCAGGGGTAGAAAATATGCTCCTGGAAGAGCTTGAGCAGCAGAGCCGAAAGGGAGTGGAAACTGGGAAGGGGGCGACCTCTGGGGCCGTGTTATCCGTGGAAGGAAAGCAGCTTTAGTGGTGGAGAAATAACGGTGGAAAGGAACAAGGATGGCCCGTGCTGGAGGCACAAAGAAGCTTCCCTGCCTGCCCACAGGGCCACCTGCTTCTGGGAAGCCCCGAGCAGACACCAACCCTGTGCCTAGAGGATTGTTCTTCAGGCAGGAAAGGACATTTATGAACCAAAGAGGAAACCTGAAAGGTGCTGGGTGCAACAAAAGGGTGGGGCCCCTGAGCAGCTAACGGGCGCCACCACACCCAGAGCACCTGACCTGGAATCCAGAAAAACCAAGTTCAAATCCAGCCTCCGACACTTACTGGCTGTGTGACCCTAGGCAAGTCACTTAACCTCTGCTTGCCTCAGTTTCCCTGTCTGTAAATAGGAATCATAATAGCACCTACCTGGCAGGGTTGTTGTGAGGATAAAATTAGATAATAATTGTACAGCGCTTAGCATAGTGCCTGACACATAGTAGGTGCTTTAAAAATGCTTGCTTCCTTGTTCCCTGGGGATATGCAGGCCCCAGCACCATCCAGAAATCACCAATACAGCCCCACTTATAATCCCAATGTTGACCTTTTCATTCCACTCTGTATTAAAAGAAAGATATATAATGAAATGACTCAGTTGGACCTACTGCCAGGTGATCAGACTGGTGGCTCTGGGACAGTCCTCCCTCCCAGAACTATCCTGTTTCTGTCAGAAAGTGCAGATTAGCCACAGAATGTAAACACTGTCACGGGGGAGGGGTGCTCCTCCACCCCAAGGCTATGTATGGCTCTGCCAAGTGGGCATGGAATGGGACAAAGAAGGACGCCACTCCCAGAGCCATGCTCTCAGGTCTAGGCCAGTTCTGCCCTTCAAACCATCAGTCAACATGGAATGTCCTTGAGGGGGACAGGTAGGAATATCATAGAGCCCAAAGCTGCCTCAAAAGACAGAAAAGACCATTGTGTCTTCTGTCCCAAGCTCTGGCCAACAGGAGTGTGTTATTGTCAGTATTGAATTTGGGGCCTTGCCTGCCCCGCTAAACAGCTAGCCCCTCGAGGACAAGAGCTGTGCAACAGGCATCCTTGTATGCCAAATGCCTTGCATACCAAAGGTGTTCAATAAATGTTGAGTGATTTTTAGAAAGAGCTGGGAGGGATATTATGAATAGACTGCTTAGACTGCTTTTCTGTAAATCACGTCAAGACAAGTAGCTTCCCTGGAAATCTAAATAATGAAGGAGAGCGGATCCCAGCCTTGGAGGTGGCCACGAAGGGTCCAATCAGTTTCATCTGATGCATGCTTCAACAGACATGGGCTTGATTAGAAACATGTGATGACTGACTGTGAAGCAAAGCTGAGAGTGGCTTCTTTGGGGTGGCAAGCACAGGGGCTGGGTCCAGGTGAGGCCTGGGAGAAAGGGCTTCCCAGAGAGCCTGGGAAGATTAGAAATGCTCCCATCTCATTGAGTTTGAACTAAACATTCCCCAGCGGGGTCATCATTGCCCTCTGCCTTTTCATGGCTCGTCTGGTTGTGTCTCCTCAATGACACACTGGACCTGCCTGTGAGCTAAGACCCAGGAAGGAGCTACCTGGAGGGAGAAGACCAGAGAAGCCTGCCTACCTTTAAACAGGAGAGGCTGGCCATGACTGAGTCACTCCTGCTCCTTCACCTAGGTCAAAAACCACTCTGCCCATGCTCATTTCCAGGGGCATGCCCTTCCAGGGAAAGGACCTTGTTTTGTCCTTCCTTAGGAAAATTCTCTGCCTGGAATCTTTATTTTCCTAAATTCTCAAATGGCAACAGATAGACATCTGCCTACTGCTTTCAGGCTTCTTTGCTTAAAAAAAAAAATCCACTCCCCTCCCCAGCTCACAGCTCAGTGATACTGTTTTACAAGTGGCTCTTCCTGCTGCTTCCCCAGGTAACCAGGGAGGCTGCCGAGCTATACTCATTACGGGTTTGTGAGACTGGCCTGACCTGAGCTGACTGCTGCTTCTCTTGGTGAACGCTCGATTCAAGGTTTTGATATCATCTCTGGTCCTTGATCGTATGACATGTTAAAGACAGGGTCATTGGCCCTAGACTCCTGAATCCAGAAAGGGCTTTAGGGAGAGGTCACCCTCCCCAGTGCCTGCCGACAATGACATATAGCCTAAGCTGCAGCGGAAGACAGAAGCTCTCCTTCTGGGCCAGAACAATGCTAGTCTAAAGTGAGACAGGACCAAGGACCGCACATGCTCAGACACACACCCGGCCAGCGAGGGCTGGGCAAGTCTCCCGGTATAGCTTCCTAAAGGGAGGAGTGGCACTGCTGATCTCCCTGGTCTCATGTGGGCCACTGACCCAAGGTCCCCTGGCCCTCGTGGAAGTGACTGAAAACCATCTTAGATGGGGCTAGAAAGCTCAGGGTCTCAGCAGAAACCATGCTGTGATGATGACCCCATAATCAAAGAAAGCCTGCAGTTCCCACAGGCTCAATCCCGAAGGTACAAGGAGAACGTGCTTCCCAGCTCTGAGCAAGACAACGGATGGGACACACCGCTCAGCCAGCCCTCAGCGAGGCTAGGAGCAAGTCACCTCTGCCCTGGCAAAGAAAACACAGCGATTACACAGGGTCACCGAAGGTACACTAGCATTACCAAAGCCTGCTTGAGTCTGTCCCGCTGGCCTTTCAGGGATTCACTGAAACATACAGGGGGATGACCAGGGCAGCTGGGGGCTGGTTTACATTTTATTCAACAGACAGAAAAACAATCTTTTCTCAGTTTATTTTATTAAATATGTATGTAATCAGTCCTGGGAGGAAACATTAGTACATTTACAATTCTTAGATGTAGGTAAAATAGGCCTCATCCCTGTGACTTAGCTGTTCCTCCCTCAGACTTATCCACACACACACACACACACACTCACTCACGTACACATACATACATATACACACAAACTCCCAGGCATACACACACATAAACTTACACACATTCCACATATACACACATACTCACACATACGCACATTCAAATACACTCACAAAAACATGCATACACATATACTCACACATATACGCACACACATTCACATACACACATAAACTCACACTTATGCATTCACACATATACCCACACATATATATACACATACACACATAAACTCATATGTATGAATACACACTCACATACAGGCATACACACATTCACACACTCACACACACACACACACACACCACACATACACCCCTGGAGTCTCCCGCTGATGGCTGACATAGCAAGGAGAGTGAAGTGATGGTGGTCAGGAAGCCTGATGTGTTCGGGTAAAGGTCACTTCCAGGCTAGCCCAGCCCCCTGGGAAGTTGGTATGAGCTGGCTCGGCCTTCAGGGCCCATTCCCACCTTACAAGAGCCTCAGGTATGTCCAATCTCTTTGGATGTACTGAATTAACACTCTATTCTATCACTTATTAGTGAGTCAGAATGTAAGCTTTGAGATGGATCATGGACTCTTCATCTAATCCTGGTAGGAAAGGATGGGCACCTTAAACTTGGATAAGATTAAGAAGAGGATCATGAATACAAGCAATGTTTTTGTGACTTTTTGGTCAGGGCCCTGCTCCCCAAACAGAAGGGTGGCCCCACCAGACAAGGAGCCCATGCATTGCTTGCAACCCCAATGTAGTAGCTGCAGGGACAACACAATTGGTGGGGGGAGGGGGTTGGGGAGGTATGTGTGTGTATGTGTGACTCTGTATTGGTTGGCAGCCAGTGAATTCTACTGTGTTCAAACCTGGATCAGAAGGTTTTGAGGGAAATGGGTATGATTCTTTCATTAGCAAGAAGACATTAAAACCATAAGAAACATGCCATTCATGGTTAGAAGCAGAATGGCCGTGCCATTTGGAAATTATTTCCCTTAAACTGGTCTTGTATAAGCTTATAAAGATAAAAAGCTCCTCTAAGAAAATTAACTAGTTTTACAGTATAGAGGCCTAAATCTTACTCATATTTTCTTCATCATCTATATCCATGGTGAAACACTTTGGCTGGTTTCTTGACTGGCGGAGATTGCTTCTGTCTGAAAGACAGCAAGAAAATTGAGCTTAGGTTATCTATTATATGAGTTAAGTTATCTTCTATAAGGAAGCAATTGCTGCATTATTATGAACCTGAGAGAAAGAAATTTGTAAAATAATTGTAGGTGTTGAACTCTGACACCACACCAGAGAAGTCCCATTCACCATGAAATGCTCAACTCAGAACTAGTATGCCTGTTGGATCTCTGGCCCTGTACCACCTCTTTCTCGACCCTTAATATTCTCTGCATCCTGTTCCGTGCTTCAGTTTGGGGCCCTTGACCCACACTCATGATTTCATGAGCCTGGTCCATGATGAAATCTGGAGGTGCAGCTGGGAACAAACCAGAGTCTAATTGTCACTGCTCTTTGGTTTCCTTCCTAATCATCAGCATTGTGTTTTCTGCATTTAAAAACACGATGCTGACTGAGAAGGGTCGACTAGATTCAGCTGGCCCCAGACCTGGCCATGCTTCCTCTGGGCCATCCTCCCACCCACCGGAGAGACTTCCAGTCCTCCCCAGCTCCAAACACACGATCCTGGATGATTCGTACAGAGAAGTTCTTCCTCGCCTCCTCTGGCCCTTTGCATGTTGACCGTCTGACATGCCTGCAATGACCCCTCTTCTCGCCTCGCTTCCTGGAGCCCTTCTTTTCATGGTAAGGTGGCAGAAGGCGAAGGCATGTCCTTCTGCTGAAGCCTCTCATGACCCCGACCCCACCCCCCACCCCCACCTCAGGTGCCTTGCTTTTCATTCCTTTGGATTTGCATCCGGTCTTTATTCATTTATTACGGATGTGCTTATCCCATAGTTGTCTCTTCACTAAATGTCAGCTCCTTGTGAGGAGGGATTGTTTCACTCTGTGTACCTGAAGCCTCAGCCCTTAGCACAGTGCTGGGCACACAGTAGGCCCCTCACATTTGGTGACTGACTGATTGATATTCCCCAAATTCTTAAAATTCCAAGTGATGTAGTAATGCAGTGAAGAATGAAAATCCATCACAACGGGATTAGAAGAACTGGGTTTGGGAAGCGATTCTTTTGAAGTAAGTAATTTTCTTCCAAAATCTAGAAGAACAAAATCAAGTCTTGCTGAAAGTTTCTATTGACTAAAACCAAACCAGAGTCACCATCAGTCCCAACAGTGTGAAGAAATGGCAGGCGGGGTGCAGCTAGGTGGCGAAATGGATAGAGCACTGCCCCTGGATTCAGGAGGACCTGAGTTCAAATTCGGCCTCAGACACATAACGCTTACTAGCTGTGTGACCCTGGGCAAGTCACTTAACCCCACTGCCTAGCCCCCCCCCCCCAAAAAAATGGCAGCGATCTAGAAACACTCCCCATTATCTATTGATCAAAACCAAACCAGAGTCACCATCAGTCCCAACAGCATGAAGAAATGGCGGACAATCTAGAAACACTCCCCATTATCTCCCTTTTAAAACATCCTTAACACATGACGCTTCACTTACATTTTCTTAAGGCAATAAATGGATGATAACAAAAGGAACTCTTTGTCCCATGCAGTCAATTACCAGGACTCATGCTGTGCTTACTGAAGGAAAAATTCAGCGTGATGACAATGAGAAAAAAATGAGAAACAGCTTGGAAGATGCCTCGGACGCATTAAACCACCATTTCAGATCCAATGCTTTGCTATTGCCCAGACTGACACCATTTGCAGTGTTGAATTTCTCCTACTATTTCTATGACAATGATATTCATGTAAGGGGAAGAAAAAATTACACCGTGTGCAGCCAGAAAGGAGCTAATTGCTCTGTTTGGCTAAAGACGTTGGGAACAATACAACCGCTAGCAGGAGTCAGTGTCCTGATGAGCTCCAGGACCCACCACCCAGTTCCAGAAATAGAAAACTTGGGACAAAAATCCAATGATCCTAGTTAAACAGCATGGAGCCAGCAGCTCTCCATTCTGGCAGCTTGTGACTTTCAGCCCAAACTAGCCCCTTTGCCTAAAGTCTTACGGTTTTATGGAGTCTGCCCATTGTGACTGGTTCTGCCCTCTGGAGCCATGCAACACAAGTGGGCTCCTAAATTCCAACCCTAATCACGTGGTGAGAGCAATCCACCTAACCCCCACTCTCAAGCTTCTTTCCCAAGGCTAAACATCCCCATTTCCTTAAACCTATTCTACTTCACAAGCCTGAGACCTCACTCCCAATGGGCTGCCTTCCTCTGGACGTTTCCAGCTCATCCACATCCTTTCCTATAGTATCCCGGCCCCCAGACCTGAAGGAACACAGTATGTCCAATGTTGTCTGAGGGGGCACAGGAGAGCCGCCTCTGCCCTCCAGCCACAAAAAGATCTGCCTCTTAATCCCCCCATATTGGCATTAGCTTTTGGCTTGACTACCACATTACACTGACCAAGAGCTCCATAAACCCCACCCCCTGGCCTTTTGTTCTGACAAACTGACTGCAGATACCTCCTTGCCTGGGAACTTGGGATTAAAAGAGCAAAACCCCAAGAACTTCACTTTAGGTTGGCTCAGTGTTCTAAATCCTTCCCAAATCCTGCAATCCTTTCCCCAACTTTGTCTCATCTGCAAATTTATAGATGCTACTGATGATTTAGCCAAGTCACTGGTAAAAATGTGAAAGACTACCCAGGCAAGAACAGAGCAGTTAATCAGCAGACACTAAGCGAGCACCTACTATGTGCCAGAAAGGGTGCTGGGCACGGAAGATAGCAAGAGAGGTCTGATGTGTACAAAAATATTAACAGTTCATTTTGTGGAGGCAAAAAATGCCATCAACTGAGGAATGACTGAATAAGTTATGGTATATGGATGTGGAGATAGCTGTGCTGTAAGAAATGAGTAAATAGATCATTTCAAAGAGCTATAGAAAGACTTGGATGAACCAATGCAGAGTAAAGTAAGCAGAAACATAAGAATTATTTCTACCATAACAATATCATAAAAATGAACAATTTTGAAGACTTCTGTAAAGACTAGACATAATATATGTGCATGAATGTACACAGCCAATGAGGGATTTCTTCTGCAAGACCATACATATGATTTACAAGGAATTGGCTTTGCTTTTCCTTTTCGTTCAGTGGGGTTGGGAATCAGAAGGAGACAAAATACGTTTCTGGTCATGACAAGAAATCGCGTTAACTAGAGAAGTGGAGGGTTGCCACAGAAGGAGAAGGCCACACATCCTTTCATATGAAGTCACAGTATCATTAGTTTTGCCTAATTGTTTTACTTTGTCACAAGATACTTCCCATGGAATTGGGGCAATCTCTAAATGCTTGTCACATAAAAACAAAACGCATCAATAACATTTTTAAAAAGAACATCCCAGAGTGGAATGGCTGTTCCCAGAAGTGAGGAGGTCCCCCCAGTAACTTGATGCCGGAGGAGTCTCTGGGGGTGGGGGTCGAAGGTAGGGGTTTGAATGGACCCCAATGCACCTTCTAACTCCACAGTTCTGCGCTTCTATCACAAAGCTGTAGAAAGAACACAAGCAAGGCTCCAAGATCGGGGCCTCTGTGACCCTGGGCACATCCTTCTCTTCTCTGATTTCTTCTCAGGTTTTTCGCATTTCTCAGCAGGGCCCAGAACCCTCTGTGCCTGAGAAAGTGACCTAGGATTCACCTTCCTCCATTTAGGGAGGTGCCCAGGCCAGCCCCCTCCTCATTCTCACCAGGCCACAGTGAGGAGCTCCTTATCATGCCCCCAAGCTGGGTTCTCTCCCCCACTGTTTTGAGCCCCCTTTTCTGTGTAGTCTTCCCCCGTTAGAGTGTAAGCTTCATGAGGGCAAGGGCTGTCTTTCTTCCTGCCTTTATCTGCATTCCCAGCCCTTGGCACAGGGCCAGGCACATGGTAGGCCCTTCACAAGTGCTTGATGATTGACAAATGAGGAAAGGGAACGGGCTGGAAGGGCAATGGCTGAGGTCCCTTACAGCTTTCATAGCCTAGCTCTGGGTGGGACCAGTTCACCTTACAAAAGTAAAGGGACTTGCCCAGGGTCCTCCATCTCATGAAAGGGACATTCCAGGACTAGACCCTTTCCAATATACTTGTCCTGGATTTTCACCTTGACCCTCACACTCACAGTCCTCTGAAATCTAACTCAGCCACAAAACCCCAACCATGGCCTGGGGGCATCAGTCAGGGTGTTGGATGAGAATGGAGCCAGCATTCTTGGCGGCATAGCAGAGCCTCCAGCCGCCACCCCCGGGGCTCCCAGAGCATCCCCTGCTCATCTGCAGGTGAGCCCAAGCCTGACCCAGACTAACCCCTCAGCTCTTCTCACAAAACAAGATGGTTCCCTGGATCCTGTCAGCCTTCCTCCCCCTCACACCTGCCCTGAGAGGATGCTCAATTAGGCCGCGACTGCCAGCATCTCTCCCCTCCCTCCACCTAAGCCCTTTCCTGGGGGATAACTCTTAGGAGGAATAACCTATTTCTTACCCCCTGAGGCTGACTCTAGCAAGCAGATTCAGCTATGGCTGGGCAGAGGAGAGCCCCACCTGCTCCCAGGCTGCTGAGGGGGCTCCCGCCTCCTGGATGCATGGAGGGTTCAAGGGCTGATCCTCAAAACCAGCAGAAACAAATGCTTGGGCATGGGACTGGCTGGGCTGCAGGCAATCGGTCTTAAAAGCTAAGACTTTGTGAAATTTCATAGAGGGAAGCAATGAAACCTGAGAGTTAACATGAACCCATATAGACCAGCTAGATTTCCTATCCTTTTCCACCACACGAAATGGCCAAATCAATCTGAACTAATGGTGAGTGACAGTTGCTGCCTGGTAGTAATTATTTCTGTTTTAAAGATTAATCACCAGGAATCTTCTGTCTTCCATGAAAGAAAACAGGACAGTGCCAGCTCCATCCCTCTCTGAGCTCCAGCTTCCCAGACCATGCCTGGTAAAGGGCAGCTTTCTCCCTCCCAATGCCTCCAGGGAGGGGAGGGGAGGGGTGAGGGGTGAAGTCAGCCCTTGCACTAGCCACACCTCAGCTCCTCAGA